TCACAATCCACTAAAGAATGGACGGTGGGTTTTGTTTTGAGGAAGCTTAGATAGCTTTCTATTATCCTCTATCAGCCTTCTAGTGGTTGGGATATGGGCAGGTGCCACAATGTCTGGCCTTATTTGAGGTTCTGGAACAAAGAACTGGATCATGGGGAGGGCAAGCAGGGGGACACACAAATGGAGGGAGGGTAAATGAGCAAATGCAGTCATTATATTTAATGTACGTTATGTAAAAATAGAACTCTGTAACTTGAGGATAGGGATGGGCTGAGGAAAGATGAGAGAAAATGGTGGAAAGAGTGACATTGATCAAGATGCACTGTGCTCGTAATCTGACTTGTGGAACTGAAACCCGTTTGGATAAACTCTTAACAAAAAGGAATAATAAATTAGAAAAAAGCCGCATCATTGCACTTAGCAAAATTTTGAGTATTTGAACACAGATTTTTGTTGAAGCAAATGAGTAGATCTTAGCATCTAGGCTCTAAAGCTTACAGATGCTTTCTATTTTACTAAGCACACAGCTATACCTATGTGCAGGGCTATGCATAGAGGATGTAGCTGAGAAATGATGTCTGTACCTCCCCAGTAAAACTCCACAAGTCCTGATGTAGGTGCTCTTGCACTTCCCTCCTCCCTGTCAGGTACCATGTCAACTATCTGACTTGTCCTCCTCACTTAAACATCAAGGCAGGATGTCAATGCTAGCAGCTCATTAAAGGCTCTCCCTTCCTACTTAAATAACAAATTAGTTCTGGGTACAGACTCACAAATTAGGTATCAGAACCCTGGGGAACAGTATTTTTATGCAGATTTTGCTATATAAAGTATTGTTTGTAGAACACTGCTCTTTTCTAGGCATTAATTACTAGCAAAATTAATTACTAGTAAAAATCAGAATGGCTTTCAAAGTAACCTAAAAAATTAGTTTACTTAGTTTAAAATTGCTTTGTTTAAAAATCAGAAAATTCATTATGAAAAATATAAATTGAGGTACAATCAATCCTAAGGGTTCATAGGCTCCACAACCCAGATTTATCCAAGCTTCAACTGGCAAATAATTTGGAAAAAAATTGTCCACGAAATTGAAATAAGTTTTTTTCTTTGTTGTTGTTCTTTTCTTTTTGTCTTCTTTGTTCATTTATCTATCTATCTTTTTTTTGTTGTTGGTGGTGATGGGGCTTGAACTCTGGGCACTGTCCCTCAGCTCTTCAGCTCCAGGCTAGCAACCTACCACTGCCACAGCACCACTTCCGGTTTTCTGAGTTGTTTATTGGAGATAAGAGTCTGAAGGCCTTTCCTGCCCTGGTTGACTTGGAACCAAGATCCTCAGATTTCAGCCTCCTGAGTAGCTAGGATTATAGGCATGAACCACCAGTGCCCAGCTTCCTTTCTCTATCTTTGAAAAGAAAAAGAGGGCACAGAAATAGAAGGGCAAAGGGTGAACAAATGTAGCAATGGTACTCTCTAGGCACTGTGTTGAAAATAAACTATACAACTTGTGAGTGGAGATGGGAGAGAAAAACTGGAAGAAAGCAAGGGGTGACATTGTCCAAAAAGAAATACATGCTTTACTTGACTTACGTACTTGTAACCCTTTTTTATATCACCTTTATAATAACAATTAAAAAATAAAAATACTATATCTGTTGAAATATACAGGCATTTTTGGTTGTCATTGGTTAACAATACAACATAATTTTTTATGTTTTTATGCTTTCAATTTTTTAACTTTTAAAAAAGTTTTTATTTGCTTGCATAGATGCTCTCCAGAGGGGTTACAGTTGCATCAGTAAGGTAATGAGTACATTTCTTATTGAACATTGTTATTCCCTCCTTGTTTCTCTCCTACTATCCCTTCCCTCCCCACCTTCTCAATCCTTCCACCCCACCCCACCAAAGTTGTAAAGTTCATTTCCAACATAGTATCTTGTATCATTGTTGCAATGGGTCATCCTGTGTCCTGGTTTTAGCATTTTGTTATTCTCCTCCCCTCTCCAAATTAGATAAATGTACATACAAGATGCAAAGTACCAAAATAAAATACAATGACAACAGGGATATACTATAGGAAGAAGAACATACAAAAAATACATAGTACATTAAAACAACAACAACAAAGAAAAACCTCTTGTGTTCATATCTTGGTGTTCATTTTGCTGAGATCATCTTATATGGTCATATGTCCATAGCTTTTGAGCTTTTCTGCTCATCTGATAAGACTATCCTAGACATATCCTAATTATTGCAAAAGGGAAACCATGAGACTTAAATTTCTTTGGGTCTGGTTTACTTCACTTCATATGATTTTTCTCCAAGTCTTTCCATTTCCTAATAAATGGACAGTGTCATTCTTTCTGATAGAAGCATAGAATTCCATTATATATATATATATATAAAACATTTTCTTGATCCATTCAGCTACGCAGGGGCATCTGGGTTGGTTCCATATCTTAGCTATGGTGAATAATGCTGCAATAAGTATAGTTGTGCTGGTAGCTTTAGTATGGCCTTGTTTGTGATCATTGGAGTAATAGGCCAGAAGTGGGATTGGTGGGTCATAAGGGGGTGTGGTCTTTTGAGGAACCTCCATATGGCTTTCTAGAATGTTATCAAGTTTACACTCCCACCAACAGTGCAGTAGTGTCCCATTTTGGCCACATCCCCCCCATCATCTGTTCTTATTAGATTTCTTGATTATATCTATTTTAACTGGGCTGAGATGGACTCTCAATGTTGTTTTGATTTGCAATCCTTTTATGGCTAGAGAAGGTGAGCATTTCTTCATGTGTCTCTTGGCCATCCTTATTTCCTCTTCAGAGAAATTTCTCTTTAAGTCTTTAGCCCACTTATTAATGGGGCAGTTATTTCTTTGATGATTTGTTGTTGGAGGATTTAATGTTTTGAGTTCTAAGTATATTTTAGATATGAAGCCCTTGTCTGTTGTATGGCTAGTGAAGATCTTCTACCAATTTGTGGGCTTTCTACTGATCTTGTTAGCTATGTCCTTTACCATGCAGAAGCACTGCAGTTTCATGCAATCACATTTGTCCAACCTTCCTTTGTGTTTCTAGGTCATTATTAAGGAAATTTCGGCTTGTGCCAAGGAGACTTAGGGTTTCTCCTATTACTTCTTGTAATGTTTTCAAGGTGTCTGCTTTGGCTCAAGGTGTTTGATCCATTTGGAGTTGATTCTGGTGCAGGATGATATATAGGGATCTAGTTTTAGTTTTCTACAAGTTATTAACCAATTTTGTCAGTACCATTTACTGAAGAGGCTGTCTTTCTTCCATTCTATTTTTTTAGCTCCCTTATTGAATATTAGATGGCTATCGGTCTGTGGGTTCATTTCTGGGTTTTCAGTTCTATTCCACTGGTCCTGAGGTCTGTTCTTGTGCCAGTACCAAGCTGTTTTGATTACTATGGTTTTGTAGTAGAGTTTGAAATTTGGTATTGATATTCCTGCAGCACTGTTCTTTCTGCTAAGGAATATTTTTTCTATTCAGGTTCTTTTATTGTTCCATATGAATTTTTGGGTTTCCTTTTCTATTTCGTAGAAGAATGAGGTTAGGATATTGACAGGTATCATACTGAATTTAGCCTTTGTAAGTATTAGCCATTTTCATGATGTTAATCCTCCAAATCCAGTAGCATGGGAGGTTTTTCCACTTCCTAAGTTCTACTTTAATTTCCTTTTTCAGGTTTCTAAAGTTTTCATCATAGAGATCTTTCGCTTCTTTAGTTAACTCCTAGATATTTTAAATTTTTGTGGGACTATTACGAATGGAGCTGCTTTCTTGATTTCAGTTGCACTCTTCTCATTGTTGGCATACAGAAAAGCCATTGATTTTTGAGGGTTAATTTTTTACCTTGCTACTTTGCCAAAGTTTCAAATAAGCTTTAGTAATTTGGGAGTGGAATCCATGGGATTCTTTAAATACAAGATCGTGTCATCTGCAAAGAGGGAGAGTTTTACTTCATTTTTCCATATTGGAATCTCCTTTATGTTTGCATCTTGTCTTATTGCTGTAGCTAGGCATTCTAATACTAAATTGAAGAGAAATGGAGAGAGTGGACATCCTTGTGTTGTTTCTGAGTTTAGAGGAAATGGCTTTAGCTTTTTGCCATTAAGTAAAATGCAGTTTCCTGTGGATACTGAGGGATGACTAGACATGACTTACTTCCTATTAAGCTAGAAGAATGAAGGGCATCAACAATGTATCATTGTGAAGTGAGGAGACTGTGTCTCCATCACGTTATTGTGTTCTCACAGTCATCCTGGTGCCTTTTTGGGTGGAGGGTGGTGGCTCTCAGCCACCAGCTCTTCAATAAAAACTCCCATATCTTCAACTTCTCCAAATGTGGCTTCTCTGTTTTCTTATGACTGAGATAATACCTGCAACACTTCAGACATAGATGTGTTCACTTGGTGTTCAGTTTTCTGTCTGCTGAATTTTTACTTAGAGGGACACTGAAGGGACACCAAAAAGTCAGGAGGAGGGTTATAACCTTCATATCAGAGAAATTAATGTAGTCTTCATCTATTTTCCCTTTCATGTGATATATTTATAATTATGAGATGTTATATATTCTATAATTTGAAGCTATGATCTTTCTAAATTTATGTTCATATTCTTAATAATCTAATTAAACAAGTTGAGCTTTTCAAAATTACTTAGATAGAAAGGGCTAGCATGTTTTCTTTGCTGAAGGGATAATTCATTCAAGTAAGATTTCATAGTCTGACTCCTTTTGCAGCACTTTATATATATATATACGTTGTGTTTCTGAGTCAGTCCATTGTAGCTTGAATAGGCATGGTGAAAACTCTCAATGAGTTTTGTCACCATAAAGCTGTTGGTAACTCATCCTTTTAAAGAGTGAAATGAAAAAAAAATGAAAAAAAATGAAAAAAATGAAAAAAAAAATAAAGAATGAAATGAAGGAAGAGCTATATTTTAAATATACTATTTTCTCACTTCTATTTCCACAAATAGGAGCTGGTGGCTGGACTCCCCTTGTATCAGATCAACACCAGTGGCTGCAGATTGATCTTGGAGAGAGAATGAAAGTTACAGCTGTGGCCACCCAGGGAGGATATGGGAGCTCCAACTGGGTGACCAGCTACCTCCTGATGTCCAGTGACAGCGGGAGGAACTGGAAGCAATATCGACAAGAAGAAAGCATCTGGGTATGTTCCTCTGTTGAGAAACATGGTCTGTCAGATTGCCAAGTATTTCAGTGACTGTGTCCTGCAGCTTCTCAGACTAACTGTTGAAACAGAGCCCAGAAGCATGTAAAATATAAGTGGAATTTTAAAACACTCTGCTCATGCCTATTTATGAGATAAGTCTAAGTACAACAATTTGCTAATGTACTGAATACTGAGTGTCTTCTCATTAGTCCTTTCCATAGTGTTATGTCTAAGTGATGAATTAGTCACAGACAGCTTACTGTATTTGGGGTCTGATAAATAGCAGTTTGGATTGCTTTGGCATTGTTTAAACAAGCAAACTCATCCTTCTGTGTTCTCTGATAAATCAGTGAGCTTTACAAGAGCTCAGGAACACAAGTCCTGCCCTAACACCAACACTGACCTTTTCATTCCTGGAGCCCTTTTCATTCCTGTACTGTGTATAGCTCACTTTAGGATTCCTAGGCATTGTAGCCACTTTAAATTATCAATGGCATATTTTCTACCTGTATGTGTTTAAACTTCTTTGAAAAGATTTAAATGTTCATTGGCTTAGCTTTCTGAATATTCAAAAATATGTACTACTTTACAGATTCAGTATTTAATGTCTGTAAGTCATGTGCTCTGAATGAGAGGCTGTAAGAAACGATGTTGGAGCTATTTGCATAATATTTTTAACAAGCTGGTGGAGCTTGTGGTGGGAGGTGAGGCCTGAGTTAGATTTGTCAGCAAAAGAAGAAATTTAGTTGTTAGGTATGTGTGTGTGTGTGTGTGTGTGTGTGTGTGTATGTGTATGTGTACACATGTGCATGCTGACTGCTGGGGTTTGAACACAAGGCCTTATGCTCTCATTTGGCTGTTTTGCTCAAGGCTGGCACTCTATCACTTTAGCCACTTTGGGCTTTGTGCTGATTAACTGCAGATAAGTGTCTCATGAATTTTTCTTCCTAGCTTTACTTTGAACCACAGCCTTATTGATCTCAGCCTTCTGAGTAGCTAGGATTATAGGCATGACCCACCAGTGCCTAGTGGTTTATGTGTTTGCTAGAGGGTGGAGACAGGATACTGGGGAGTTAGAGCAAAATGGATGTACAGATGATAGAAGTTTTGGAAATGGATGGTAGTGATGACTTCACAGGACTGTGAGTATCTTAATGGTGTTTAATTATAGACTTAAAATGGTTAATACAAGGTGCCTGTAGCTCATGCTTGTAATCCTAGCTACTCAGGAGGCTTAAATCTAAGCCAGCCCAGGAAGGAAAGTCTGTGAGGCTGTTTTCTTCCAATTGCAAAAAAAACCCAGAAGTGGAGTTGGGCTCAAGTGGTAGAGTACTAGTCTTGAGCACAAAAGATCAGGGACAGAACCCAGTCCCTGAGTTCAACTCCCAGGACTGGCACAACAAGTAAAATAAAACGTTTACAACGGTATGCTTTACATTATGTATACACTGCAAAATGGTACAAATGGTACAATTTGCCTTTGTTTAGCTTAGTGGTTGGCTGTTTCTTTTTCCTTGTCTTGGCAAGGTAGCTTAACCAGAAGGTTAAAAGGTGACAGAATGGCAATATATATGGAATAATCAATTGCTACCATTTCAGCCTCATCACTAGCTTATGCTAATGTCTGAATGTTTTATCAGTGTGCCAAGAAATGGTTAGTTGAATCAAGAATGCATTCTCTAGCAGTAGATGAAAGAAGAAAATGGAAGAGAACTTATCTGAAAGAATTTTTAGAGCTGTCCCCAAAGAAGCAGATGCCACAGATGATCAGAAATAGGTGTTAATGTTTAGCTAATTCAAAGAAAACCAAGCCCATATCAGGATTAGGTAAACATTAATTAAGAGATAATATATTTGAAGTGATAGCTTAGAGATGAAGCACTTAGGTAGCCTGAAAACATGAGAACACAGGCAGGCACCCATAATTACTCCTGTAACCCTAGCCACTCAGGAGGCTGATCTGAGAATCACAGTTTGAAGCCAGCCCAGGCAGGAAACTCTATGAGATTCGTATCTACAATTAACTACCAAAAATCTAGAAGTAGAGCTGTGGTTCAAGTGGTAGAAAGTTTAGGGAAAGCACCCAGGCCCTGAGTTCAAGCTGGCAAATAAATAAAAAAATGAAAGCACAAATCTACTATCAACAACAGAACAGTAAAATAGAAAGAGACATCTGTGTATATAGAGAAATTTTGCTCGAAACAATTTTGGAAATTAGGTAACTATTAGACAATGCACTTTATTTAAAAATATACTTTATTATTATTGTAAAGGTGACTTATGGAGGGATTATTATTATAAATCAGATATTGAGTATATTTCTCTTTGAACAGTGTCTTCTTCCCTTATTTTATCTCAGTTTTTCCCTCCCCATCCCATTCCCTTACAAGTTGTATAATTCATTTTCAACATAGTGTCTAGTATGTGCCACTGCTGTATTTGCTCACCCTTTGTCACACCTTTGTTCTCCCTCATCCTCCCCAAAACAGATTTGTGGATTTAAAAACTGGAAATTGTGATAGCTCTGCATCAAATAAGTTTTGGCAACAAAATAGCAATACCAAGTCCCTTCAAACATTATTCTTCTGGTTAATTTCTAAGTTAGGAAAACAAGTTGGAAATGTAATTAATGGGGTTAATCCATATTGTGTTGTGAAAGATGAGAAAATCTTGTGGTATTATAAGAAACCTCAAAGGTGACTCCAAATGTTTCCCTAGGATAAAATGAGAGTGAAATAGTGCAAGTGTGAGGGCCAGTGGTTGAGTTACATCTAGAGTGCTTTCTTTATGCCAGAAGGGATTGATCACTTTGTGAAAGCTAGATTGTGGCTACCTGTGCATCCATCATTCGGTGTGTGTTTGAAACATTTTGCAGAATTATAAAAAATATAAAGGGTAGGTTTGAATTTTAAAAATGTGTGCTTGTTTATATAGATATGGAGGTAGGAAGATTGTATGACCCACATAAGTCAACGTCAGAAGGGATTAAGTTTGTCACATCTTATAACAAGAACAACTTGAATCAGAGGTAAGGAAAGAAAGCTATATGTGTGTAAGGGAGATGACATTGAGGTTAAATATTCTTGGAAGGAAGGATAAGAAGAAATGCACTTGACAGAGGTCTATTTTTTAGTCATTTGAATATACATTGTGTATTTCAGGTCTTGGTGAATTATTGTAAGAGGCTCTTGCTTTTATTTTTTTTACTGCTAATAAGTTGATGACTAAAGCAGAGCCAAGCTCCACACCATGCAGTTTCATTGCAAAGAAGCATCTTCAGAGTCACTAGCACCAGGCATGACTCTCAGACACCTGTCTCTAGTCCCCATTTACCAATTTCAAGTACAGCTCTAAGACTGTTTGGTCTCTTTCAGAACAGGAATAGCACTTCCACAAACCTTTGCACTCACTTCCATGTACTTGGCCTCATTTGGAACTTGGTTCTCTCTTCTCACCCTCTACTGCATCCCATTAGAGCTCATTTATCACCGTGGCAGTGGCTTTGTGACCTAACAATCTTGTTGCTTGCACTTAACCACTGGACAGTAGCTAGATTTTCTACATGTGTTTGAACATTAGCCCCTGAGATCTATTAAGCCATGGGCTGATTTTCTGAGAGATCCAGAACCAATATAGTCTCTTAGTAAAGATTTTCTGGAGCCCGGGCATTGGTCGCTCATGCCTACAATCCTCATTAGTCAGGAGGCTGAGATCTGAGAATCACAGTTTGAAGCCAGCCTGGACAGAAAAGTCTCTGTGAGGTTCTTATCTCCAATTAACCATTCAAACACTGGTAATGGAGCTGTGGCTCAAAGTGGTATTGTACTAGCTTTGAGCAAAAGAGCTCATGGACAGCACCCAGGCCCTGATTTCAAGCTCCATGACTGACTTTAAAAATATTTGCTGGATTGAATGAAGAAAGAGTTGTTATTCTCAAGTAGACTTCTATCCTGATGGTGCTGATACCAAGTCTGAGCATAAGAAGAACTTTAGTATTTCATTTCTTTCTCACAAAGTAGGATATAGTTGAAATCCTATTGAACAATTTATAATTAAATTCAATTCTCAGTGACAATAGAGAGAAATGCTGAACTGTGTGGTTAAAAAATCAGAACAGCTGGAATGTGGATGCTGAGAGGTAAATGGGCCCTCTGAGCTGTAACCACACAATACTAGATGGCTTTCCAGAGGTCATGGATTCTGCAGCAACCTCATCCTGCCAGGACTAGTGATTCTCCCATCTCTACCATGTCCCTCCGCAGCCCACCAGTCTTTGCTCATCACTAAAATCACTTAGGTTCTTCCTTTAACAACAAAGACTTTTAATTTCCAGTTCTTACACTATTTCTCTTTGAGTTTCTCTATGCATCTCTTACTCATTTTCAATGGTTAAGATTTTAAGCAAGGAACATGAGCCATGAGCCAAAACCTTAACCAACAGGTGCTTAGCAGCACTCACTGAAGGCAGTGCTAGTGAACAGTCTTCAGTAGGTGTCACTCTTTTTATTTTCTTGCTGGATTCTTCTTCTTTTTTTTTTATTGTGAAAATACCGTACAGAGGGGCTACAATTACATGGGCAAGGTAATGAGTACATTTCTTATCAAGCATTATTGCCTCCTCCTTTGTTTCCCCTTCCCAACCTTTCCCATCCCCCCACATCCCGCTCACCCCCACCACCCGGCCAACGTTATAAAGTTCGTTTTTTGACATAACGACTTGTACATCTCATTGTTGCAATGGGTCCACCTGTATCCCGAGACAGACCTAGGTGTCACTCTTGTTCAAAGAGCAAGGCTTGTAAATAAATACAGTCTATCACTACAGATTCCATAGCTTGATATAAATGCAGTATATTTGGTAAGTGAGATTTTTTGGTCTTCAGTGGCTTGGTGCCAGACTAACTGGAGTCTTGAGGAGGTAGTGCACAGTGGAGGAGTGGTGCTCTGGACACTACGGGGTTCCTGACTCTTGATATTTCTTCTGGCATATGACTAGA